TATCCAAATGTAAACAACTCTAAATCTTTTGAGTTGTTAGCTATATTGTGAAATATTTTAGGTTTTTGGGATGATCATCGTTTCCAACGTGTGAACGTTGCTTCGTCTCTTCTGGCGCGGAATGCACGTGAACCATTTTTGGAGAGAATTGTCACCAGTGATGATTGTCTATTCGAATATTAAACGCCAAAAACAATGGCTCAGTCCTAGAAAAAAACCACTTCCGACCCAAAAAACTGGAATCCATTCGCAGAAAGTGATGCTTTGCATTTGGTGGGACATCAAAGGAGTAATTCATTTCTAACTCCTCAATCCACAGCGAACTGTCAATGCAGAGATCTGTAGTCAACAACTGGAACGTTTAAATCAAGCCCTTCTCTCGTCAATCGGAAATGTTCTTTTTTTTCTCCACGACAATGCACGTCTACATGTGGTACGTTTAACATAGCAAGATTATGGAGTTGGGATGTTCTCCCCCACCCACCATATTCTCCAGATATGATACCATCAGATTACAATCTTTTTTCGTTAGCTACAACACCATCGTAATGGGAAAACGTATGCAAATGTGGAAGGTGTTAAAGAGTAGATCGACACGTTTTTTGCTTCAAAGCCAAATGATTTCTTTAATTAGGGCATTAACAACCTGATTGTAAGATGAAAAAGCATCATTGATAAAGATGGAGACTATTTAATTTAACAAATGTTTTGTTTTGATATAAAATTGTTCGGGTTTTTTTATCTAAAAAAAGCGACATTCATTTCTTGACGACCTAATAATTCTTCAAAGGTCACACGTTTAAGGTTTAGAAAAGACGGTCTAAGCTCCAGTTATAGATATTTTAAAGGATAATTTGGCTCAAGGAATAAGCTGCCATTTGCAGTAGTAGAGTCTGGCACTTTTAGGGAGTTTGAGATGGGAATCTACGATATTTTAAGGTGTATTTACACTATAATATAACTATTTTTTTTACTAAAGATTAGGTTTATTTTTTTTTCCCCAATGGTGAGTGCACAAAGACAGCCTTGAAGGACCCAATGGTTCTTTGTTGTATTTTAAGTTAAAGAATACAAATTGCTCATTACTTATCAGTGACATCTACCTGTGTATTGTATAGGTATAATTACCTTAGAACAATGAAAATATGTTTGCCATCTTTACAGAACGCCATGTTGCATTTAATGACAATTCAATTTTCATTGCCAGTTATTAAACTTTAGTTTTTTTGTGACTTTCACAATCACATCGTATTGTTGTTTCAGGAAAGCGAATTTAAAAAGTAAAATTATTATTTATAAAGTTATTATTATAATTTAATCTCTCTTACCTTTTTAGTTGAAATTCACGAATATCTCAACTCACGAAATGGCCCCAAGATGAAAACTTAACAGGGTACTGAAGTTTCTTTACTTTTTCTTATTCTAACTTTAATTCAAAGTGTTAAAGTAAATATAAGTCCATCTGTTTAAATAAAAAAACAAGTTTGGACAAGCTCAAAAAGATTCATATCATCCCACTTCTCCACAAAAGGCTCTTTCTCTATTTTATTAATTTCCAACTTCGAAGTTAGCTCAAGTAATTACTATAGTAATGATCAGGTGCCTGAGGTCGTCTCTCTGTAACTGATTAGTTTATGTGGCAGTATACATTTGTGTGTGTATGTGAGGCTTTGCATGATATATGCAAATTACACAAAATCATTCAAGCGTTGTATGAAACAAAATAAATTAGTCACTGAGAACACAACCAGTAGGCAATCTCTAAATCAAAATATAAATTTTTGATCAAGTATTGTCACCAGGTTGTGGAAAAGCACGAGGCTTCCAAATCCCATAATTAAATGGAACTAATTGAAAAAAAATTTAAAAGTATAAATTACCTTATCAATAATTAATATTTAAAGCCGGAGATTTTACAAGATATTTAGGTTTGAAATGGGTCTTTAATGTTACAAAACTTATTGGCTGCCAATGTTTGCTATTCAGATCAAAAGAAATTTGTATAATCTGAGTAGAAGCGTTTCGAAATAATTCCTCTATTAGCAGAATATGACTCACTCTCAAGACATGTTTGGAGAAATATATCGAATAAAGCATTGATTATGAATAGACAGATTTCTCGTGGTTGTGTTCAAGTGGCTCTTATGAAACTTCTAATGAAAACAGTGGTTAATAAGGCCTTCAAATGTATTATAAAGTTGTTATATGCAGCAATATAAATAAGATAGGCCAGATGTGTTACAGTATTCGAGCATACACCACACGGGATGTTGGAATTGTGAAACATGTGATATTAATAGCTTTCTATGTTAATGATGAGAAAGTTGAAGAGTACCTTTTATTGCAAAATGAGACAGATTACAGACAGAGAATTTACTGAAGGACAACCAAAATTGTTGGTGAGTACTTCAATGCACCAGCACACTTGAGGAGTTCACATTCAAGACTTTGAGCTACTGAATGTATGGGTTACAGATTGCTGTGATGTGTTAGGAGCCAAGAAATTGTTTGGGTCTTTGATGGAGCTATGAGCTAAAAGTTTATACTTGAAAAGAAACTCAGAGCCATTCTAGGGCATAGCTAAAAATCTATTACAGGCTAAGAGAGCATATCATTATACAGAAGCATATCTAATGACATCACTTTAAGTACACATATGCTGTTCACATCATTTTTAGTAATTCCACTTAGAAAATAAAATGATGCCTTTCAGATGTCACCTGACTAACTGATGGAAAAATTCATTGACCTTTTCTAAGAGAAATCACATGTAAAAACCAAAGGGGGATGTTTGTTTGACTGTTTAATATCATGCAAAGCTACTCAAGGACTATCTGTGTTGACATCTCTAATTTAAAAGTGATATACTAGAGGAAGGCAATTAGTTTACACCATCCATCATCAACTCTTTACTAACGAAAGGGCAATTATGTTTGGTGAGAACTTGAACCCGTGGTCTACAGATTGCAAGTCAAGTGCCCTGACCATCAGGCTATGACAGGCCCCAAGAGGAATTTAGCTGTATTCCTTGACCAACATTATACTAATAAATCTACATGCATGTGTGTATATACACACACATTTTGAAACTTTTAAATGAACTTTAAGTGTTACTAAATAAAGGAAATAAAATACCTATTAAGCCTGTTTACTACATTTTTGAAAATATATCAACATGGAAATTATGGCTTATAGTACTTTTTAATCAAGTCTTTATTCATTTCAGCTTACTGAAGACTTGTTCACAAGTTACTTGTGAGAAAGATAATGTCTGAAAGCATTCATATGCTACTAAAAATTGCTTAAGAAGAAATCAGAAGTAACATGTAAGACAAAAGTTCTAGAATTCACAGTTTGCTTATTGTTGTTTCTTAATTTTAATCTTCCTCTTGTATTTCTTCTTGAGGTCTGACATGGCCTAGTGGTTAGAATACTTGACTTGCAATCTATAGGTCGCTAGTTTGAATTCTCTTCACTAAATATGCTTTACCTTTCAGTCATGGAGGCTTTATAATGTGAAGGTTAATCCCATTATACATTGCCAAAAGAATAGCCCAAGAGTTGGTGATGGGTAGTGTTGACTAGCTGCCCTCCCTTTAGTCTTACACTGATAAATTATGGATGGCTAGTGGAGAGTAGCTTTGTGCAAAATTCAAAAACATATTTGCTTCATACATTGTTGGATATACAAGACTGTTTAGTGTAGGTATTATTAATTTATTTATTTTATGAGTTAATGACTGTTTAGTTTTTTATAACAGGAGAGTTAAAAGTTAATAATTTTAAAGGCAATAGTTATGACAAGTTTGGTTAGGTAACTTGGCTACATTGTTGTCAAGGCTTAACTAATATTGTTGATATCACAATATTCAAACCTTCAGTATTTTTCTTATTACCTTAACTTAGTATTGTTAAATCATGTCTCACAGATAAGAGAAAATTCCAGAGGCCTCACTGAAAAACATATAAGTAGTGGCAATTGAAAGAAGCCAAGTTAAGTGATGTGAAGTAAAGTAGAAACAGAGAAAAGTTAGAAAACATGAAGTTAGCTGGCGTGTGAGAGATTGACCTTAAAAGTTGATATTTTAAAGTGAGTTTCACATATAAAAGGAAAATAATTTGTCTTGTCAAAGGGTGTTCTAAAGTAAATGAACTTGTCTGTGTGGATTTTGATGAAAAGGAGACAAATATTTAAAGTTTGAGATACAACTGTGGTAACCCAAAAGGTAATGTAAGTGAATTTATCCCAGATTGTACAGTAAGAAACAGAATTGAGAAAAATAATTCATCTTGTCAATTGGATTCTAAAGTAATTGAAACAGGCTGTGTGGACTTTTGACAAGAAAAGAGAAATATTTAGTTTTAGATACAACTGTGATATCCTATAGTGTAAAGAATATTTTGTACATACATTTGACTTGTTTTGAATATATTATTTTAAAAAAAAGTGGATTGTGTGCAGTCCGATTATTGTTCGAATTTATCGCCAACAAGTCACAGACACCTACTGTAGAAGAATCCTCAGCTCCAACCAACATACATAAAACCCTGACAAAAAAATTACAAGCTGTTATATTTTATTACAGTATCAGATCAAATACTGAAACAATGCTTGTCACAGTATCAGCTAATAAAGGAGAATATTTCCTTCTAAATTATATAATCAAAGTAGAAAGAATCTGTATCATATAACAAAACACAGCACAAAATAACAAATTATCATCTTCAAATGTAAATACTTTTCAAATAAACAAGTTAAAGGCTGAAAGATGATGATGTAGTTGTTTCAACATATTCTTCTCCTGAAAGATACAACAAAAAAATGATAAACTTTAACAACACACAATATTCACTCTTTTAAAATACCTTGTAAAATGACTTTAAAATAAGACTGTTTTTGTTAAAGTACATTACTTCTACTATCATGAGTGAGAAGCAATGAGTAATTTTCAAAGTTTGATATTAACTCCATCCCTATATTTAGGCTTGTAGCTTTCCTGTGGCCAATTTTAAAATGTGAAACTAAGTTATCTATTAAAAAGTTTATATTCTAAAAAACGAATAATTTCAAAACTTGCTTTTGGAAATTCTCATTTCAATAACAAATCATTTTTAAAACACAAATCAAAATTTAAAGTGACTAGCAATGGCTCAAACACACCAAAAATGAGAATAATCCATTTTAAAGAAGAAGTCTTGTATAGTAGAAGAGTGTATATAGAAGAAGAGTGTATAGTATTTCAACTATATTTTGTTGTTTGATGCTGCTATCAACAAGGCCTTAATTTTGCTTATTACCAGAGTTATGTTATGTTACTGCTAAATGTCATTCTCTTCCAGCTAAGGCATTCGAGAAATAAGCTATGAATTATTGGTGAAACCATACAGAATGTTCTCTGTAAACGGCTTTCAGATAGGTATCTAAATCACTGCTCCACAGGAACTTCCAGTCTGTGTTCTGGTCTTATAAAAACAAACTCCCTGCATAAGAGTAAGTTTTAGTTTCTCCAAATATTTAATGACAAAATTAAACAGTGGCTAAAGATTATGGTCCAGCATGAACAGCAAGTAGGCAGTTGATGTAAAAAAAGAAAAGAAGAAAAAAAAGAGCATAAATTCTAACTGTAATTGTAAACAGGTGAAATTAAAAAACAGATTAGCATGACATCTACTGTTCCTTCACACTGAAACGATCCAAGCTCAAGACATAAAATCATATCACAGATGCCTTCAAAAACAATTCCATACTGTCTGAGTGGTGAACTTCACAAGAAATCCTTACATATCAAAGGGATTTAGGAAATTAAGAAATCACCTTTCTATTATGTAACAAAGGTAAAAGTGAAGAAACACAGTTTATTACAAAGGACTATACTTACTTTAGAGTGCCTGAAGAAGAGTCACTGTTATTCCACTACTCTGGTAATCAGATATTTTTATAAATAATATCATTCAATGGAGACAAAAATACTTAGTTTACCTGATAGCCAGATTTCAGAACTTGATAATGTAAGCTTCTATTATATTTTTCTTTGTATTACTAATCTGATTAGTATAATCCAAATTTAACATTATTTGTACAACAATTATTGTACTTCAAGATTTTTAGTTTAGTTTTGGTCTTATTTTGTGTTTAAAGAAATACAGTACTTTATTTTATAAAAAGTTATTTTTATTTTTGTCAATAGAAATTACTGTTTTATTTCTGTTCAACAAAATAAATGTTAAGTGTTTTTTACGTGATACAATAACAATTACATTCATGATTTTTAACATTTGTAACAATGCATTTGCTGATTATTGTGTGTCATTCAAAGTTGCTGGAAGACAGTCACCAAATTCTGAAGTATGGTAATTTATGATTTGTTTCATTTCACAACACTAATTTTGGTTTCAATATTTCAGATCCCTCATTTTGAAAAATTGTGGAGAAAAGTAGTGGTTTGTATCAATACACTTACAAGCCAGAATTTTTGAAGTTTGGCTTCACTGAGCTCAAGGAACAATTGGGCTTTTCTTGCACGCAGTGTGTGAAGTGCTTAGAAGTCTTAGTGAACTCGTCTTTGAAAGAAGACAAACTAAGGCAGCATTTGACTTCAGTGTACCCAAATCTGGTTAACAAACCACTGAGCATTTGGAGAGATAAAGAGGATGGTGTCGAACGAATTAGGCTTGATGCAGCCTCAAAGTCTTCTATATTTTCTTTGTAGAAAACCATAGTGGCCTCTTTTGAAAAGATCGTGATGCAAGAAGCCTCACAACACTGGAGAAGAACTTGTGAAGCCAGCCGCCATTGCAATGGCAAGGACTGTTTGTAGAGAGGAAGTGGTGAAAAAAAACTCAAAATGATACCACTTTTCAACAACAGTATCAAATGATGAATTGGTCTCATCTCTGTGGATATTTTGGTTCAAGATCTAACAACCCTGAAAAAAGCAGGGAAGTTTTCCCTCCACATAGATGAATCTGTCGATACTGGAGATACTCCTCAGCTCTTGGTTTTCGTATGATACAAGGGAGAAAAAGACTTCATTGAAGAATTCCTCTTCTGCAATTCACTATCAACCACGACAAGGGGCGAAGACATCTTCAAACTTGTTGACAGTTTCTTCAAGAATCGTGACCTCGAGTAGACAAATTGATTGGCTGTCTGCACTGATGGAACTCCATCCATGATGAGAAAACTAGTAGGATTAAGGAGATCAATCCCAGTGTTGTCATGATTCACTGCATCAAGAAAACCTAGCAACCAGAGAAATGCAGCCAGAGCTCCACTTAGTTCTTAAGGATGCCATGAAAATCGTGAACTTTATGGAGGCCTGAACTTAAGGGTGTTTTGAAAGATGTGTGAGAAAATGGGATCTGAGCACCCATACATGTTCTTTCACTTTGAAGTCTGCTGGCTATCTCGAGGAAAGATCCTTGCAAAAGTTTTTGAAATGAGAACTGAAAATGAAATATATCTTCATCAGAAGATGCATATCTTGGCTGGCTGCTTCAAGGACTGGGGAAATTGGCCTATTTGAGATATACAAGACATACAAGGTTGCAACCAAACCATGATTGATACTGATGAAAAACTTTCATCCTTCAAGAAAAAACTTAGTCTTTAGATAAAAAAATGGCCAAGGAAAAGACTGCAGCAGCATTATCAGAGTTAAACAGGTTACTGGATAGACTCTCCTGAAATATCATTGACCAACCTGGAAAATATTTTTCAGGGACATTCAAAAAAACCTTCCAGTCGAGATGAATCAATATATGCCAGAAAATGTCGAGCTTCAAAAGCACAGCTGGATCAGAAATTCATTTGATTTGTATGTCACAGAATTGGAGATGACATCCTTGGGTTTCAAGAAGAACTGACTTATGTCCAGGAAAATCAAGTTCAACGAGAAAAATTTGTTCAGCTTCTGTATTCAAGTTTCTGGTGTTAAAACCGAAGAAATTGCTGATTCAAAGTACTTTTTATATGTTTGAAATATATATGTTTGCCTGTAACAATTTTCTTTCTTTGTCATGAATTGAACCTGCTAACAAAATTTAAAAAAACTCAAAATATTAATCTATTTATAACTACAAGTAACTTTGTCTTTCTGGCATGTTTGACAAAATGTATCCAGTGTATGCATCATTTTTCGTTGCCCAACAGTTACTCTCTAATGGCAGCAGAGAAGTGAGATGGCAGCCAGTCAGCTTTTTAAAGCTATTCATTTTGAGAGACCCAAATACTTAACTTGGCCATTCCACTGTGTCATAGTGTTAGTAACTGTCTACTCTTTTATTTCTACATAGATTTACTATTTAGTAGTATTTGTTTGCAGGTTGATATTATGGCAATTTGTAATTGATTCAAAAGCAAAAGTACTAATAAAGAATAGTAACACTCAGTACCTTTCTGTCGAGTTAGAGAATGGAACAAAACATCATTTTCCAGGTAATACTTTAATGCAGAAAAAGAAGCAAGTCCAAAACAATTAGTTCTGCACTGTTATGTATAAAAATTTTATTTCAAAGAACTCGCACTTACCATCTCTCTATAAGACTCGTCTTTTACCTGTTGGAGTTCTTGTTGATATTTTAAGGTAGCTTTTTTCTACAAATAGATAATGATGAAAAAGTAGTTAGAGTATACAATTATAAATTCTATTACATACGTCATATACTTTCATAGTTCTTCAGAATCCAGTTTGTGTATTTGTTTTAGAGCAAAGCTACATTGGGCTATCTGCTGTGTCCACTGAGAGAATTGAACCTCATTTTTTTTGCACTGTAAGTCCATGAACTTACAGAATCCCTTCATAAAAATACAACTTAATATGAAAGAAACATAGTGATGCACTGGAATATTTCAAAACGTTACTCCGTCTTATTCACAATAAATTTTTATGTAAATTCAGTATATTTTCTGATTAAAAAAAACACACACATGGCTATGTTTTACTCTTAAACGATTTCCAAATTTAACCCTGTAAACAAAAACATTTTCAGAATAAAATTAATGGATTGGTTAAAAAAATCAGTAATATTTAACCTGTTTTGAGAAGTTTCATACATATTCTACCTGAATGTCTTGAAGCTTCTTTTCTAGCTTATTCTCTGCTAGTCTGAGTAACTGCACTGTCTCTTCCAACTTAGCCAGTCTAAGAAACAAAACACTGAAACAATACTCAGAAAAATATTCATTGGATGCAAAAACCAGATTTTACCAGGAGAATAATTAAGAATCTATCATAAATAAAACTAATATCAATATTACCATTTAGTCAACTTACAGCATAACACCACGTAATGCAAGAATCAGAAGACAACTTTGTGTTTTAGAATTTTAAAAAACATTTCTCTTAGAGCATAAAACATCTTATGTAGCAGAGACAATGCACATGAGGAATTTATGTATAATTTGGTATAAAGAACTTAAATAAAAGGGGGGGTTGGAACCACACCTCAGAGCTATGAATAAAAACTGTTACTGATAGCTCCTTAAGGAAAATTGCAAATAATCCCATAAGTGTGACAGTAAATTCTTCAGGTATTCATATGGTAAATGTAAATCAGACTTTATTCTACACTAGAAATTAAAACTGTTAAATTACTTTCACAAACAAACATCATTTCTGATGAGTAATTGCCCACTAATAAAATTTAAAAGCTAAAGATTTAGCTTAGAAATTCTTATATACCAACGTATTTAGTGATTTATATTGCATATGTTAAGGAATAACCGATTTACACTTGTACCGGCATTTGCCACTAAATGAAATGTTTACACAAAAGATCAGAATTGCCATTGTAAGTAATTCTTGTAAAAATTAATTTCCAATCAGAGCAAGATGTGTACTTAGAATGAACCTAAAAATCAACGTGGCAATCAGCATAGCTAATTAAATATATATGTTTTTTATATTTCTACTCATGAGGATTGGGATGTATGGTACAAGAGTAGTTTCTTCAACAGTTTTACAGCTTTTGTTCGATAATGTATAAAATTAATCAGAAGAATTTAAAATAAATTAAAAGTAATAAATTTTATTTCAAGTATTATAACAATATGTGGAAACCTAACTTCTAAATAACATTTACTTTCTTTAGCTTAATGATCTATATGAATAACTAAAGAAACTTTGGAAATTAGCACAAATTTATAGATATTATCTGAAATAATGTGAATGTGTGATATCTTTTTTACAAATAACAGTATTATTATTATTATCTTATAAAATAAAATAGTTCTTGAAAACAAGATAAATAAAAACATTATTTTAAAACTTTCACAACTTTGTCAATATAAGAAAAGGGATTTGGAACCATAAAAACCATTAAGACAGCAAACAATCACCAACATAAATATATTAGACATCAGAAAATACATCTTAATTTGACAAACATCAAATAAGCACAAGTTACACAAATTTTACCATCTGAACTACTTCCTTATCTATGTTTTGTTGACCAGGCTATAAATGTAAAAGGTAAATAAAGCTCACTCTATAGGTTCAGTCACAGTTAATAAAAGATATTAAGCCAAACTGTACCATAAAGACTAGCTAAACAACAATAAATCAGGTTTTAACAGTAGGCTTAAATACACTTATGGTCATATACGTACAAACATCAGTTTGAAGAATAAACATATTTTCTATTTTTTACAAAAAAACAATAATACTCAAATCAGCATAATGTTATAGGCTAAAATAAAGAGAAAATATAACTAGATTCATAGAAGGGACTACTGAAAACAAGAAACAATTATCTCAAATTGTCCCCCATAAGAGGTGGAAAATGAAACATCCTGCAAACTGAATTATCGAGAAGAGGGGCAGATATGGTCTTGACTGTAGGAACAGACCTGAACCTAGTATTATGAGGAGGATCCAATTTTGGCTAGTCTAGCTCCCACAAATATCAGTACAACTGGGATTAAACCTCCAGAGAGTAGAAGAATGGAGGGTTCCCAGCTTTGCCCTCTTCTCAATATAGTAGAATGATATGTAATGTTATGATGTGTGTTCTACACCCATGAGGAAGCCTTCATAGTCCAGCAGCTGGGAAGTGGAAAGGACCTCCAAACTCTACTTGAAGAAGGGAGGGGAGAAAATGAGACATAGCTCGAAGAACAGCTGAGAGCTCCAAAATGTTGACAGGAAGCCTGGATTTGGCCAACTCCCTAAAATCTCTTGATTATCAAGATATGTATCCCAACCCATATGAGTAGCATAAGTAAAAAGATGCTGGTCGGATGATGAGGTGAAAGAGAAACTCCAGTCATAGTACTGTCTCTGTCAAACTACCAAACAAGATGGTCCAAAGGGAAGAAGGAAAAACAACCAGTTGATCCAAGAAATTAAAGCTGAAGTTCCAACGATCACGGAATTTCCACTGGTGGCAATGCATATGAGCATGACCAAGGGGTATAAGAGCTGCCAAGGAATCCCACATTCCCAAAAGAGAATGAGAGGATAGGGCCATGATGACCAACAGCTCTACATTCCAAATATGCAGTGCAAAAGACTGGGCCTAAATGAGGTTGGAATTGAAGAAAAGTCCCAAGTGAACTAGATACTGTGTAAGGGAAAGGATGGACTTCTCCACTTTCATGAACCAACCCACACAAGCTGCCTCCTCCAGGAACAAACAGATGTGGTTGGCCAGTCATTCATATAATGATGTGATCAAAGTCCCAACAAATATAGATGGCAAGCAAAGGTCTTGTCTACCCAACAAAAGATAGGAGCTGTGGAGGAGGAAGGTTTCGATAAATGATTAAAAAGGGAAGTATGCAACCTGACCACATCAACAAAAGACTCCAAAGAGTCAGGATGGCCCCCCCAAAATGGTGTCACCCATAAGTCCATGAGGGAAGATGAGAGATGAACCCCAACAAGTCCCAAAAACAAAGCAGTCAGGTAGTAGGGTAAAGGCTGATGAAGAGAGCCTCATCAAAGTAAACTACAGAAGGAATCAGAGATCCTGCAAAAAATCGTCAAGAGGATGACAAAAAGCCTTGGAAATAAGGTGCAAAGACGATTCAGAATCTTCAGGATTAAAACCCCTGAGGGATCACTGCAGATCTAATTGTTGGGAATCAAAAAAGGATTTGAAGTGCTAAAGTGTTTTGGTCAGAAACTCTTAAGGGGGTCGAGGCAAACCTAACTGTGATAAAAACCACCGTACATGAACCTCAATGTCAGGAGAAAGAGGAAATAATCCATGTTAGAGATCTCACACAAAAGGGAAGGAAATGCATCATAGAAAACAGGAGAAACATTCACAATGTGGCGAACATGTGTAATTAATTGAAGGAAAGGAGTAGAAGATTGTACTTCCTCCAAAGGTGCAGGATGTGGCCATATGGCAAAAGAAAGAGCAGGAAAAAGGCTGTCTAAATCATCCATGTCCTGGTCAATATTATTGAAAACTGAAAGCAAGCTGACTGAAACACATCTGACTCGTATTGTGCCAGTTGAGAAAGTGAGATTAATGTAAAATAGTACAGAGGGAACCAGGTACTCTATGAGTGTGTGTCATGCTCCTATTGGTGGAGGATTATCACATGCTCTATGCATACTAAATGAGCAGCTTGAACTTATGGGATATAAAGACAAGTGCATCAAGTGAGAAAATTTCTTTTTAATGTGTTTTGGGGCAGTGGAAGATCGAGAAACGCTGTTGTGTGAGAAGATGTATGTATCGTGTCAGAAAAACAAACCTTATCAAAATAAAGTAGACAGTTAAATTCCTATTTTCTTTAGTATGCAGATTTTACCACAATACATCCTATAGTAGGCAATTAGACTTCTGATGTACCAAGAACATGAACATCAACAAATGTATGAAAGCAAAAGTAGTCAATTGTTTCACATCTATCAAAATAATAATATTTTGTTTTTATACTGTTTTTTTTCATAAAAAAAGAATACAAAAGGCACAGAGCAAAGTTTTTGTTTTTTGTTATGAATCATTCAAGTCAATATTGCATTAAATAACAATCCAAGTTCACAAGCACTCATATTAATAACATTAAGTATGTCAAAAAACATACTTGTGGACAACTTTTAGTCTGTTATTCTTAGATTCTTTCAGATATGTCAGCAAGTCACTGTTAACTTGGAAGGTTGCATGGTCTTCATCTATTATTTCTGCTATGACTTCAGATACTTGTTTCCTATATTCTGCCAGTTGATTACTGGAAGAAAATGATACCAATATAGTTAGAAACAGGTTAAAGAGAAGATTTTAACTTTGCTAAGTAAAATAATTAATTCATCCTCAATCTTTTTTATATATACCTCTCATATAAAACTTAAAGAACAGAAAATATCCATTGTGTCTCTTATGTCTGATATCAGAATAGGCAAGTATATTCTATTAATTCAATTTATGTCCTAAAAAAATTTCGTCTTTTTCCTTTTGACTAACAAGAATTGAAGATTTTTTACTTAAGAGCCAAGGAAACTTAAGAAATGTGACAATTAAGTTACAATATTTAATATAATAAGACCATAAAAAGAAATACAAGAAGAATCTCACAAATTAAACTAGTTAGTCATGAAAAGTAACACAGTTTAGCAATCTTCCTCATGCATCCAGCAGAGAGAATTTGCATGTTGCTAGCCTAGAGGCAACTCTCACCTAATTTCATATTAATTTATATGAAAAACCTTTCACTAATAGGAAGGTGACACACCTCCATGCACAATAACTCCTGCTATGCACTTGTGAAACTTTTGATAAGGTAAGGAAAAGAAGGTGCTCCAAATGAGAGAAGGTTGAGTGGGAAGAGATAAGTATCTATCAGAAATCCATTTTCAGATTAGGAAAATGTTAACTTCCAAAATACTCCATGCACAGTTTAGCTAAAATCCAACACTGAAGTGGTGGAGGCAAAGATAGATATTTTTAACAAAATGAGCATCCTTCAGAAAGCCCTCAAAGGAAGACCATGGGGTGTGACACCTGATGGCAGGGGCTCCATAGGAACATAACTGTGGGAGACAACATTTTGTCTCGTCCTGAGAAAAGGCAAAGAAGCTATATGTGTCACAGGGACAGGCAGAATGTGAACATGACTGTTTGAGCTGTCACACAATCAATATACATAGTGTGGTTAAGCTTCAGGAAGAAGGCACTGTAGTAATCTAGTATTGGTCCATATGTAAGTTGTGCACACCTCAACTCTACCGAACAGGCACAGACTGTAGGAGGACGGCACAAATGGAATGAGTGTTGTATATGAATGGTGACCTGCATTACACTGACAATGTCACTGCCATCCCACTGCTCACTGTATTGGTACTCCTTTCTATCATTCCAGCGATCGAGTCCAACCAGTGAGAGTCCTTCATGATCAACATCCCAGTTCATTTTGGACAGTGCAATAGATGACTACGAAACCCTAATTTTAAAAGCCAGCAAGCACAAGCCAAACAAGAAGGCAGAACACTTCCCTATTACTGGCATTTTCCATGATGGTCCATAGAATAGGTACATTCTGGATTAGAAAAAGAGTAAAGGTAGTATATATATATATATATATATATACACACACACAAACACAGAGGCTTGCTGAACACCTGATTTCACAATGGGCACATTTACATGTAAAGCCAGGATGGATAGGTATGAGCACTTTCCTTTATCCTGGCTCAATGTGGATTTTGGATAAGTATATCCTGGGAGGGAACACCAGCCAACAGGTGGGATTCGATGTAATGAAAAGAGGGCCCGGAAAAAAAAAAATATTATACATTTTTCTCAAAGATGGTGGGAAGATTGATGAATGTCAATCTGTGAAAGTCGAAAACCATCAGGAGATAAAACAGCCAAAAGATGTAGAGGAGGAGACAAATATGTGGATAGTATCAACATTCCCACCTGGAAGAGCCAGTGAAGAATAGATGTACGTGACAAATCAAATGTGAAGAAATGTGAGATAGTTAGGGAGAATTCATATCCTGAGACAAAGATACTAAACGGAGGAGGTGACTGGTCCATCCAATAAAGGTAGAAATAGAAAGGTCCACGTAAAGGCACACCAAATAGCCCAACAGGACACAGGAGTCGAACTGGGTTCCAACAGCCCAATAGGGAAAGGGTGAGGAAGGAAAGATCAATCTAGAGAGGGGAGTAGAGAAGTGCAATGTAAGAGGGTGCAAGCAGCATCTATGGGATAGACATTTGAACAATGGTAATCACAGGCAAGAAGAAAGAGAAAAAAGTCAGGAGAGTAAGATAGTAGAAAACTGCGAATCAATCCAAAATGAAGAGAGTTGGGTGGGAATTAGCAAACACAACAAATTAGTAAAAAAAAAAAAATGAACATAAAACGAAAGCCCCAAGCCATGAATATAACATATAAAGGCCCTCACAATACCAATGAATACAAAAGGGAAAAACAAGAGAAGAGAAATTGGGAAAAAGATGAACAAAACTTTAAAAACAATTGGAGGATGGGTCGAGGGTAATGTGTAGGAAGGAGTTCGATACATCAACCATGGCCAACTGTAAACCAGGAGAAAAGGACCATAGATGGAATTGGAGAGAGGTGAAAAGGAAATTAGAAGAGAGAGCCAGATAAAGAAACAAATGAAAGAAGAAGGAAGAAGTACAGTAAAAAGCAGGAACAAAGTACAGAAAGTACAGCAGAAGAAGTGGAACATGCCAAACAGAGAAGGGAAATGAACATTTACAGAAGCCCAACTGAAGCATAAGGAAGTGCCCGAGACAAAAAGTAGAACGAGTAAAGGGAATACAAGGGTTAGAAAGATAAAGTGGAAAACAAGAAAATGAGGAACCAGAAAGAGAAATAGAAGGTAAGGGGCGAGATCCTCAAACTAACCAAACAGATACAAATGACAGGAAATCGAGAAATGGAAGAGAAAAAAAGTTTACAAATCAAGATAGAAAGAGCCAAAACATAAGGAAATGAGTCATTCAGACATGAGAAAGGATCAAATAGAGAGAAAAAACAGTAAAAAAAGCCAAAGAGCAAGTAAGGAGAGAAAATAAGGTATAATCCAAGAAACAAGGATCAGGGAGTAAGAAAAGAGAAATAATAAAGAATACAGAAAAAAGATAAGGAACATACCTGAGAATCCAATCCAGAGAGAGAATGAAAAGTTATGGTTGTTTCACGAGTGGTAAGGTACTACCTAAAGCAAATCAGGTAAGGGTTGTAGTCCAATAGACCATTTCAGCCTGAAGAGAAAAAATTTCAGCCAATGGTATGGGAGTAGGAGGCCCATTAAGCATGTGGTAAACCACAATACATCAAATGACCTTCAAAGTTAATGAACCTCCAAAAGCCATAGGGAACAAGTAGAAATCACTGTCAGTCGAGAATTCACAAAAAATAAAGGAAGTTTTGGAAACAATGCAAACCTCAATAAATTGATCTCAGACAAAAAACTTAAACAAGTCTGATCAATACAATGCCAAGGAAAAGAAATGAAGTTTCACAAGTGCAAGTTCATAGGGAAGTTATTGTAAAATGGAGGTGTGTCACCCTCCTATTAGTGGAGAGCTTTTGTCACGTGATGACATCATCATGCAATAGTAAAATTCACGTGAAATTAGGTGGGAGTTGCCTCAAGGTTAGTGGCATGCAAGTCTCTCTGGCAGATGCATGAAAAAATAGCTAACCTGTGTAAGGAAGTAAGTTATCATCTCAGAAGAAATCATTTACATGACAATTATTTGAGTCTATGTCATTACAAGTAATGTCAAATAGAGCTTTAAAAATATTGTCTTTAAATTAAGTAATTTTAGTAATTTTTAAAAACTTATAAGACTTGAATTGGTTAAAGTTAGGTCTAACCTTAAGAAGGTAAAACAAAAGAAATGTTGGAAGTCATTAAAAAAAAGACAAGAAAGTTCTGGGATGTAAAGTTGGTTAAGAAATTGATTATGAACCCAAAAAGTATCAGTGCTAAAATTGGGCAATCAGATACTTATGTGCATAAATTCAATCGATCTGTATTTCATTTACATTATATTAAACTGTGATTAAAGAATCTTCTGTACTGCTTTTTTTCTACATTTAAGATAATTTTTATCTTTAAATAGTACAGTATTGAATGAATGCTGCTGAACATAAATGTGAGAAAAATATATATATACAACACTATCAACTGTGTAAAGTTTTTAAACATATATCAAATCAACTGGGAAGGTTTATTACAAGAATATTGATTCTACACGAAATTAATACAGTGATTCCAAGCATGTTATAAAGAAGACTATATGATGAATCTATCATTTTTCCATATAAAGTAAAAACAAAAAGACAACATACCTGAATGTAGAAATACATCTTTGGATAGTATTTACATACTTCTTTGACAGGGCTTTCACTTGTTCTTCAAGTTTTTTGGTTACTACTTCTGACTGAAATATGATGAAAGGAAAATTGTTTTATCACTCACTTGTTCAAATGATAGTTCACTGTGTTTAAAAGCCTTCCACAAACCAAATAATAAACTAGCCAAAGTGAAATAACCAGTAAATACTTAATATAACAGTGTGTGTTATTAACAAGTTATGATGAACCTCTCCATTTTAAAACAAATTCAACAAGATTAATTAATGGATTCTTATACCTTTTTATTATAACGATATATAATACAATATAAGCTACAAAAGTTTGAATGATTATCACAACTGGAGAAAATTTACTGTCATAGTAACACTGGTGAATGTTAAGTAAACTAAGCACACACATATATATTAAACATATGTTATAATTGTTATGAAAGAAGAACTAAAGATTTTGCATCATACTAACTTCAAATGATCTCACTTTTTTATTTAACAAGATTGTACATAATCTTTAAGCAAAATGCATTGTAACTGTTAGTATGTGTGTCATATTAGCTAATAATTTACAGCAAGTATGAAACTTACTTGCTGTAAGGGTGAACATAATGTTTTTTTTATGTGCTACTTATTATTATACATCAATTCTCACCCTGACATCAGGAAACATATTTTTCCTCCAGTAGTTAATCACTGGGCTGTCAACTGCCTGCTGTTTCTTTCCATACGTGAAGTTCAACACGCTGGGAGGTATCAGTTCTTCAACCCAGTGGGTGTTGGCTCTCCCTATTCTTTGTTTCAGTGGACTAACGTCTGTCTCAGAAAATGATGGTTTTGTTCCTGTTATGTTGGTATCAAAATCTTTAACTTGCTGTCTCTTCTGACCTTGAAAATAGGAAGACTTAGGACTTGGTAATGTTTTCTGGTTTCGAATAGAGGGGGATTGAAGAAGTGAATAGGTTTCTTGGCCTTCAATAGAGAGGTATTTAGGAGATGGCATAATTTTCAGGGATGAGAATGAGAAGGATGTTGGACTCAAAGGTTTCAGTTCTTGTAAACATGGAGAAAGGGATTGAGGACGACACAAAACAGAGCTCAAGCAGTCATCTTTTAGTCCTGGAGAGTTTCTGGCTATTTCTATATATATATAATTAACATTTTTAATACATTTAGTCAATGATTCATGAAGATTCAGTGTTAGAAGCAAAGAAAAGGAAGGTGCATTAAATTAAATAAGTTACTTTTTTTAATCTCTAAAGAAAATAATAAAACTAATAAGCCTATAATTTGTGATTTGCATCATAAATTGTAAGACTACTGTTTTCTAGTAAATGAACAAATTAAAAGGAATATGGGGAACAAACACCCACAGTTTATGTAAGTTTTATCAAAAAATTTTAGGCCTATTGATTTCTAATGATTTGCCAATTTTAAGCATCTAAAGTGTAATTTTTAAAATAATAAAACTGGTGATTTTTAAAACTATTGGATGTTACATTTACCTGGAGTAAAGAGCCTCTTTCTGGACCTCTCCACTAGTGATAGTTCAGGTTCATTTTCTAAAAATCCGTACTTCCTCTTCAGTACTGATTCTCGAGGACGAATGACAGACGAAGGTCCTATAATAACCAGATTAATCTTAATAAAGAATCTTTGGTTCAATGAATTGGAAATAGAGTAACATATAAAAGAAAACTAGTTTCTTTTTGTCAAAATGTATTGATAGTCACAAAACCAATCACATCAAGAGTTAAAAAACATTTTTGCTGAAGTAGTAAGAAGAAAGGGAAAGTTGAGGAACCTAACCAAGTAAAGCATGGAAGATCATGAAATATGTGATGAAAATGACATTTAAATGTTTGTGTAACCTGAAGCACCTAATCTAGTAATACAGATACTCATTGCAAACCGAGTTGTTATTTACCTTTAAGCATGTTATAAACATGATTCATTATTCATGGGTTTCACTATATACATCATTACTTACTAGATTTTAGTGATCCATAGAAATAAATACTTTACACAAAAACTGCATAACCTAAAATAACATGAATAACTTTTCTCTAGTATTAAACAATGGAATGACTTGGTGTTCTATATCTGTAGGAGCTTCTGGAAGTAGACTTAGTGAAGTGAAAGTTAACATTTACCTAACTTACAAAACATATTTCCAATAATATTTGCATCTGCTGTACTTATAGCTATTACTTGACCCTCAGGGTTTTCTCCTTTGCCCATCTAAGCATTGGTCTGATTTTTTCTCACTTGCTCCAGTCTTTTATGCTCCACTCAATTGCCCTTGGCGATATTTGTCTTGTGACACTCTCCGTTTATGTCAATGCACCATCTATCCTGGTACTGTATACAAACACCTCATTCAGATAATTTTATCACTTTTTTGTGATTGATACCATCCTAGTCTCTAACACTGGGACTTAGAGGGGAGGAAGGTGAATGTCAGTGAATGCAAGTATTATTGGAAATACCTTTTCAATTTAGGAAAATGTTAACTTTAAAAACATACTTACCTCTGATGACACTTAAATCTAGAATCCCATAATAAGAAGGTGGAGGGGTCAGTGAGGGTATTGTTACGTCTCCGTTTGTCAATTGAAACTTTAACGACACACGTCTTTACTTAATAAAACTGGTTTATTCTTTCCAAATATAACTTTACCGATACACTCAACTTCAACAATCGCGCTAAACAAACGCTGTAACAACGAACGTCTACAATACTTCTGACTGCAGTTCAATTATTCACTATCTACACACACATTACATTATTGCCGTCACGTCTTGACCGTCTTATATATATAAAAGAATACCGAAGTCCAGTAACCTCACGAGGATTCACGAAGCTTCGAGAATATGACGTGTTACTAGCGTCACATGACCTCGATGAAGCAACAGTATTATCCATACAAAAAGCATCTGCATAGATCATGGGTGTGTCAAGATAAGATTGGTACCACAGAGGGAGAATCACACTACACCCTGAACAGTTATGTTCTTCATCTTGATCATAGTTCCTGTATCAAGGGTGGAATTGTATATTAGTGGTCATCCCTATAGGCTGGCCCCAACCACGACCCCGAGGTTCCACCACTCTGGGTTGGAATTAAGGGGTCTTGGTCCTTATATCCCCCTTTGGTGGCAATGGAAATTGGACCACAGCATTATATATATATATATATATATATA